GCCGCCTCGCCGCCCCGGCCAGATCCTCACCGGCACGCTCGCCGGACGCCGGCTCACTCGTCGGACAGCTAGCAGGTCCGTGCGCGCCGCGACTCCCTTTGCCGGCCGTCTTTTTTGTCGATGCCCGCAAGCTGTTCGACAGTTTGTCAAGGTACAAAATGGACTTCACCGACGAGTTCTTTTTCCACAATTTTCTTTGCGACTCCGATGATTCGTCGTCCAATAACGAGGAGGAGATATTGGCTGCCGTGTTGGTCCATCACCACCTCAACAGCCAGCGGGCGTTGTTCCGTGGCTCCATTCCGGGCCACCTTCCGGCGTTGAATCGCAGCCGAGCGAGCGGGCATTTCCTTCTTTGGAAGGACTACTTTGATACAACAAACCCGTTGTTCAAACATCAAAAATTTCGCCGCCGTTTCTGTACGAGTAGGCATCTTTTCAACCGTATTAGAGAGGAGGTGGTCGGCTATGATGACTATTTTGAGTCCAAGGAGGATGTTGTTGGCAAGATTGGTTTCTCCTCTTATCAAAAATGCACTGCCGCCATCCGAATGCTTGCATACAGAGTGCCCGGTGATCTCATTGACGAGTACGTCCGTATGAGCGAGTCTACATGCCTAGAGTCCCTGTATAAGTTCTGCAAGACTGTTATTGTTGTGTTTGGCTATGAGTACTTGAGAGAGCCGGCTGCTGAAGATATAGTCCGTTTGTTGGCGATGAATGCCAGCAGGGGCTTCTCAGGGATGCTTGACATCATAGACTGCATGCACTGGGAGTGGAAGAACTACCCTTCTGCTTGGCAAGGGCAGTATAAGGGCCATGCCAGGGCTTGCACTGTCATACTAGAGGCCGTAGCGTCTCAATATCTCTGGATCTGACACTCTTTCTTTGGCATGGCTGGATCACACAATGATATCAACGTGCTTCAGCTCTCGCTGGTGTTTGCTAGGCTTGCCGAAGGTAACAGGCCACCGGTGAACTTTACTGTCAACGGCCACAACTACGACAAAAGATACTACCTGGGTGACGGTATCTATCCTCAGTGGACCACTATTGTCAAGACAATACCCAACCCTAGGGCATGACGTGACTGGGGAAGGACGCGAAGGGGGGTTGTGGACTGCCGCTGGCTTGATGGGCTTTTCTGGGCTATCCACTTGCGCCGTTTAATTTTTCTGGGTGTCCACGAATGCCACATAACGTTTTTTTGGTGGATGGCATATGTGGGACTAATGGGACCCAGCGCCACTTACATCCTGAACCACTGACCGCACAGCGCATCGTACCGTTGGTGGATCAGCAGTGGACGGCAACCAGGAAGGTCCGTCGGCAACCCGTGTGATTTCTATATTGTTTGGAACATGGAGGCTACACGCACGGGCAGCGGTCCGTCGTCGTGCGACGCACGACGTCGCGGGGGAGACGTGCGGCCCAACACGTACGGGGAAGAAACAACAGGCCCCGCTCCCCATAGATCCGCTGCTCCCCGCCGGCGCGCCCGCGATCTTCCTCGGTCCCGCGAGGCCTGCGACGTACGCCCGACGCGACCGTGCAGCGGCGCAGAGTTCCCGCGCCCGGTCCAGGACGGCCCCGGCAGCGGCGCCAACTTGCTCCGCTGGGGTTGGAGCGCCGGAGTGCAGCGGCCTCGGCTCCCGGGCGGCGGCGGATTTGGATTTGGGCGGTTCGACGAGGGGATTTGGAATGTTGGGTGCGCCTCATTTGGTCACCGTGCCGTGTGAATCGCTCGCGCCTGGCAGCTTCCGGACCGGACGCCCATCGTTTTTTACGAGCCTCCCTCGGATCGATCGCACCTCGCGCGGTGGCTTCCCATAGCATGGGAAATGTCATTCTCATGGTGGTAACATCTTTTTCATCGTAGGTTCCTTCGCCACTCGTGACAAGATTATTCTTCCGTGTACTCGAGTGATAATAAACATTACTAAATCAGAATCATGTTTACTCATCTCCATTTTTGTTCTCCCGTAAAAGGCTGGGCATGGGTGATGCTAGTAGACGTTATCAAAATTAATAATACACTAGTATAAGACAAGAACCTAACGGCATCCAAATACTCTAGTAGTACAAGACATGTTCAGTCTACTTTCGCAATGTGATCCGTACTTCGTACTACGTACCAAGGGGCGTGCATTCAACGATCTGGTTGGTGCATGAGATTTCCAGATCTCTGCTAATCAAGATTTGCTCGTTTAGCATACGACAGGTGTGGCTAGTTAGTGGCTTCCTAAGTGACGCGAGTTAAGCTTAAATTCGCTCATAAGCTGAACTTAACAAACACTTTCAAGCCCATTTTTTTTTACAATATACAAAGTCGATTTGTAAAAAGAAGATTTATCTGATCTTTTCAAGTGTGGCAGTGGAGATCTTTCTTCTTCTTAATTAAAAGCATCCTCACCAAGAGCGTACATTGGCAAAAACGTGTAGCTAAATTTTCCAGATATTTTAAGATGGAACAATCTTTGCAAAGTAAATCCTACTAGCATATATGTGTGGAAGCTCCATACTAAGTGTCAAGTTTAAAGGCCAAATCAGCATGTTTATCACAAGAGCATCTGGTTCCATTGTGCATTTTAGGCCGCCTTAGCCACCCCTCTACTCTACTACGGCATTAGCCATTAGGGTTTAGGAATGTTCCCCGTGAGAATCACAACAGATAATGCAGGTAAGATCCCCCCTAATCATTGCATGCGATCGGCTCCTTCGTGGCAACTTCTGCCCAAGAACACAAGCTGGCTAGCTACGCCATGACCACCATCCTTATACCATAACAGTCTCAAACTATTGGCCTAATCATAATAGTAATCTAGCTGCCATCTCGGTTTTTGGATGCTAGTGAAAAACTAATGGGGATGCCTCCAAAAGGAATCTATGGGAAGGCAGAGAACACGTATCCAGTGGGGCAAATCATTTTTAAAATGCAAGCCTTGAACGAACTTGCATGGCCCCGGGAACATGGTGCATGGTGCCTTTCCTTGTCCTACAGCCTAGATATCGTTTTCTTGTGTGGAGTATGTCTAGATATAGTTGGTATAGAAAGGCTGGCCGTATTTCATTCCATCAATAATGCTGGGGACACACTTTCATGGGAACAGCCAGGGAGAAAGGGACGCTCCCGCGGAGAATTCTGCGTCCATGAACTCTATTGTCATTCGAATTTGCGTTGAAAAAAGTTATATGTAGTCAGCTAGACAAAGTTGTAAGTCAAACTTTCACAAGAAAAGGTGCAAGTCGAGATATTTATTTTTCAAACTATAGGATTCGCTAAATAAGGCTACAAGGAGCTAGAGTCAATTTAAGACTCAGATATGTAGTGGGGTACAAGGCTAAACAACCTACCTAACAATAGGTACTGGCCCATTCCCATTCCCAATTCAATTTCTATTTTAGATTTTAGGACAAAAACATTCTTGTGTGCATTCCAACTACCGATTATCACATAAAAATAGCTTAAAATTATCAATTCTGCACTGCAAGAATTTTCAAGTTCATATGTTCTACACACAAGATTTCCATTCTCATGAAACCTCCTTGATTGGCGTTGAACACGTGTAATACTATTGGTTAAGGAGAATTGGATCCTTTCGAACATATCATGTAAATAACCTTTTAATTACTGGTAAACATATGATAAGGGCCTCCCCCAATGTTTCTCGACAACAAGTCTTTGGAGAAAACTTTAAAATTGAGTTTCATTTAAACTCTAAAACAGATATAGTTTTTTTTTCGAAAAATCCTGCCCAGGACACCCTCTATTAATTGAGAACGAGAGAAAAACAAAGTATTTAAAAAAAAATGTACAAACTACATGAGGACTACTACTCCTCAGTGTCATTGCTAGACTCGTGTGGCAAATGGACGCCGATGATGCATTGGATATCCTGAAATGGTATGTGGGATACTTCGAGATGCACTTCAGATATGTACCTTGTCCCGTTATTTTCACCCGCTCCACAATGCATATAGTAGACGACTACTACGAATTGTGTGCGTTCTCTTGGATGTGGTGCCTATGATCACATTCAACCCTGTGTTGACCGATTGGCGATCGTGCATGGGGGAGTTGGAAGGATCCCTAGCCAATCCTCAAGAAGGCCCCAAACCGCGGGACTGAAATGACAGTCTACTACAGAGGTGGACGACATTCTCCAGGGTTGTTGAGGCAGAGCTAATAAATGAGTTTATGAGGCTAGTAACAGATTGATGAAAGGTCCACCGAGAGAATTCTGCTATGAAGGATTAGCCATGGAAATAGCTTAGCACCTTGATACAGCCCTGGCGTATCAATTTTTGAAATTTTATTTGTAAAATTACGTATAACAACTTTCTTATGAATATGTAAACCAGTCCATCCAAACCGTGTATTCTACTGATAACGCTATGTAAAGTGTACTTTAATCGATTAAAAAAAGATTCCGATCAACAATCACTCTATTATTGTGCACTCTTATAACATATAAATAAATTTATTAAATTCATATTTTAAAGTAAAATCAATTGGTAGTTAAAATTTTATCTTAAAGCAACCAAATATGGCCTAAAAAGGAAATGGATGGGTCATACCTAGGTGTGGCCGTAGCTCTACACATTTTAATAGCCACCAAAGATAGTTATGACTTGAGCTGGCACCCCGCAAACTCCACTTGGCGCGCTATATAAACCCCTTTGCCAGTTGCCACTGCCATCACAACCCACAAGCAAACAAGCAGCAGCCAATTAAACAAGCCAGGCTAGCGATCGATCGATCGATCTCATCGCCGTCGACTCGAGCTCCATCGCCGGCGACGACGACAGCATGGGCAACAGCCTGCGGTGCTGCCTGACCTGCATGCTCCCCTGCGGCTCCTTCGACGTGGTCCGCATCGTCCACCTCAGCGGCCGCGTCGACGAGTTCAGCTGCCCGATCACGGGCGGCGCCGTCCTCGCCGAGCACCCCAACCACACCATCGCCACGGCGTGGTCCTCCGCCGGCGTCGGGTGCCCCACCAAGAAGCTCGTCATCGTGTCGCCGGACACCGAGCTCAAGCGCGGCCGCATCTACTTCCTCATCCCGTCCGCGACGGTGCCGGCGGTTGACAGGAGGAAGAAGAGCCGCCCGGGCTCCAACAAGAAGAGCAGGCGGCCGAGCAGCCGGGGCAAGAGCGGCGGCGGCGCCGCGAGCACCGCGGAGCAGGATAACTACCTGACGGAGCTGCTGTCCGAGAAGACCGCGTCGGGCGCCCACCGGAGGCGGCGGAGCGGCTGCAGGGTCGGCGTGTGGCGGCCGGAGCTCGAGAGCATTGTGGAGGAGGCCTCGGAGTAGAGGGCTCGAAGAGTTCTCTCATCTTTCTTCACCCCCTCCTCCTATTATTCTTGCTTCCTCTCTGTCTTCCGATGTGAATACCACGATGGAGAACGTATTTCCAGTTCTCAATGCCCTGACACATGTATGTACAGTGATGTACAGAGGGTTTAGTGGTTCTTAGATCGGAGATGAGAGGAAAAAATTATTGTAAGCCCCCCAACATGTACAGAGATATTTAGCTGAGCTGATTGAATTTTTCTGGGAAAATCTTTCTGTGCTATCACCAAAAACAAAGATATGGTTGAGTCGACTCAAGTTTCTACAAAAATCTTTCATAACATGGAGTATTTCCTCTCGTTCAAAACAGAAGACGATGTGTGATTCAATGATTTCATCTTTATATTAGTCACCTGCTGCAAGCAGTAAACTCCACTTGGGACATTGAACTCGGTGTATGCGGGGTTTTCGACAAAATCCATAGTGAAAGGAACACAACCAAAGTGGCAGGGCAAGGTAGGTTATCTATTTGGATTACAATGCTTATTGTCGGCAAATCGACTTAAGATCTCCCCATTGCCGAGGAACTATTGAAGGAAATGATAACTTGATAAGTATCAACATGAATCGGATACTACACGAAAGGAAAGGGAAGCGGAAAAAGGTATCCAACCCCAATTATTGTCCGAAATGCTTAGAGAAGTTCTAATAAGAAAAAAAAAGGATATAGAAGTAACATTTATGTACCATACTACACACAAGAAAAAAAACTGAAGTTTAAACCGCTACTTGAGAAACTCAAAATGATAAATCTTGTTGCGAATAGTGGCTAATCCAAATTAAACTGAAAATTTCAAATCCAAAACTCAAAACATATCTCCAATAACAGAAAAAGAAGAAGGGAAATTCCAGTTGAGAATACAAGCTAATCTAATTTGGGTTGTTAACTGGTGGTCCTAGTGTCAATTATCTACACTGTGATTTATTTTGTTCTTGAGCTGCCCTTGGAATTTCGGCAAATTATGTGGTATGCTAAATACGTATTGTTTATGTGTTTTGTATGTTCCAAAAAATTCTAGAGAGCACAGCCAGTGTCTGATGCACCTCAACCCCGGTGCTGTAGATACATTATGGGGGGCCAATTCACTAACACCGGTGCCATAAACCTCTTTTCCATGTCATGACTAATGAGTGCATATGGACTCGATCAACGTCAACAATCTGACAATGCAGGATAAACTTGTACGTAATGCACCACGGAGGACGTAATACACACGTACCTAGAACATTTGGGGATAACAAGGATAGAACTCATAAATTTAATTCAAGGGCTAAATCACACAACACTTCATAGATTGCAACACCATTATTTTCTGTTCGGTATTCAAGTAGAAAATTTTGAATGTTGTAATTCAAATTCTCAGTTGCACAGAACTTTGCATTAATTAAAGCGAAAAGTTCTTGCACATGTTTGCCGTACAGAGTCCATGTGAAATTGCGAGTGAGCAGCTGTCACTTGAGAGAAATTGCAAGTCAACTCAATCTGAGTCTCTTAGAGCACTCCGGGTATTAGCATTATGTTAGTCAAGTCAAGATCCTGTCACCATTAGATCAATATAGCTGGCATTCCTTAGATTAGGCCTTAGATCAGGCATGTTAAGTAGGCTAAGTACGCCACTAACATGTGTCGCCAGTCGTGCAAGCGATGCTCCACCATCTAAAAGTCACACATTGCCCTTTCAGCCAGCTTATTCTGTCAAGTAAAATGCTCTCAGGCCCAGCTGATTAACCAACAATCGGCCCAAGCAAATGCTCAGAACTCAATTCATAGTGTGGTATGTTAAACGTGATGATATGGTTGCGTGCGTGTAGACTTGTACAAGGCGTATACAGGAAGGGAGATCAACACCGCCGGAGGAGTAGTTAGTTAGCTAAACTCTTTTATATCTTTATCTCCTCTTATCCCTAGTTTTCTTCCTTTACAAAATATATCTATCTCAACAACCTGTACGCGTATTTGGGCTCGCAACCCTTCTATTTAACATGCAACACGTCGGCCAGGAAGGCTAAGACGTTTACCGCAAGTCGCACATGGTATACAGAGCCTTCTTCTTCCACCAAAAACCCTAGCTAATCCATCTCCATCAAGTGCGCAGCCATGTCTTCCTCCTCCGCCTCCTTCCAGTCGCCGCTCGGCGGTGGAGTCCCGAAGAAGCTCTCCCGCACCAACTATGTTCTATGGCGGACCCAGATCGCGCCGCAGCTGCGGGGCGCCGGCATCTTCCACTACGTCGACGACACAGCGAGAGAGCCGGCCAAGGACCTCACCAGCAAGGACGCCGCTGGCAAGGAGACCGAGCCGAATCCCCTTCATCCACTTTGGGTGAAGGAGGACCAGCAGGTCCTAGGATACCTGCTCCATAACCTCTCCAAGGAGGTGCTCGTCACGGTGACCACGATCACCACGGCGCACGAACTCTGGGTGGCACTGGCGAGCATGTTCTCGTCACAGTCACCCAGCCGCGTCAACAACATCCGTACAACGCTGATCAATGCGCAGAAGGGAAATCAATCGGTGGCCTCCTTCTTCGCCGCCATGAGAGGTCTCGCCGATGAACTCGCCGCGGCGGGCAAACCCATCCAAGATGACGAGCTCATGTCCTACATCATCCACGGGCTGGACCAAGACTATCAGCCCCTTGTCTCCGCACTAGATGCTCGCGTCACCCCGGTAATTCTTGATGAACTTTTTGCCATGCTCAGTAACTTTGATCAACGCATGGCGCAGTACCAAGGCTCCGGTGGTGGCTTCAAATCGTCGGCCAACTCTGCGTTCAGAGGCCGCGGTGGTGGCTCTCGCTCACGCCCATCTCCCCGTGGCAAGGGGAGGTTTGGCTCCAGCAGTGGTGGCTACTCCAACAACTCGCGCGGTGGCGGCCGCTCCGGAAACTCCAAAGGGCGTCGCGGTGGTGGCAGTGGTGGCTCCAACAGATCCCGCCCAGATTTGCCTCGCTGCCAAATCTGTGGCAAGCCAGGACATATGGCAAAGGATTGTTGGTACCGCTACGAAGAAGATGATGGTGACTCCTCGCAAGATGAAGAGAAAGTTGCCGCTGCAGCCGATGGCTCCTATGGAGTTGACACAAACTGGTACGTTGACAGCGGCGCCACCAACCACATCACCAACGAGCTCAAGAAAGTCACCATGAAGGAGAAGTATCGTGGAAAGGATCAAATTCACACGACCAATGGTGAAGGTATGGGCATACGTCACATTGGCCATTCAATTTTTAATACCCCTAGTTGTAAAATTCATCTCAAAAGAATCTTGCATGTTCCTAGTGCCCACAAAAATCTTCTCTCCGTTCATAGAATTGCCATTGACAATCATGTTTTTCTCGAGTTTCATCCTTATTTCTTTTTGATCACGGATCAGGCCACGAGGAAAGTTCTCTATCGCGGTAGATGTGTTCGAGGGCACTACCCGTTGATTCCGGAGTTTAGAAGATTCAGTAAACAAGCTTGTGGTGCTATCAAGCTTTCGTCCACACGATGGCACGATCGTTTAGGACATGCCTCTTTCTCTTTGGTTGAAAAATTACTTAGGAAAAATAAGCTCCCGTTTGTTGGTGGGCGAAACATTGAAACTATTTGTAATTCATGTCAGTGTGCTAAAAGTCATCAGTTATCGTACCCTATATCTACTAGTGTCTCCACCAAACCTTTGCAGTTGATCTTTTCTGATGTGTGGGGGCCTGCCCCCTCCTCTGTTGGTAGACACACGTATTATGTGAGTTTCATCAATGACTATAGCAATTTTTCATGGATCTATCTCCTCAAGAGAAGATCAGATGTATTCCAAGTTTTCCACAACTTTCAAGCACTTGTTGAAAGAAAGTTTGACAGTAAGATTCTTGCTGTCCAGTCTGATTGGGGAGGGGAATACGAGAAACTCAATTCCTTCTTCCAAAGCATAGGCATATCTCACCATGTATCATGCCCGCACGCTCACCGACAAAACGGGTCGGCCGAACGCAAGCATAGGCACATTGTTGAGGTTAGCTTGCCCCTCCTAGCCGGAGCATCCATGCCCCTTAAGTTCTGGGATGAGGCTTTTCTGACAGCTGTTCATATTATCAACATGTTACCTAGCCGTGTTATTAACAATGAAACACCCATGGAACGTCTCCTCCACACAAAACCAGACTACACCTCTCTCCGTGTTTTTGGCTGTGCTTGTTGGCCAAATCTTCGGTTATAACAAACGCAAGCTCATGTTTAGATCAAAACAGTGTGCTTTCCTTGGTTATAGTGCCCAACACAAAGGTGTAAAGTGTCTTGACATCTCCACTGGTAGGGTTTACATCTCTCGCGATGTTGTCTTTGATGAGACCAAGTTCCCCTTTGCGGATCTACACCCTAACGCCGGCACACTCCTCCGCAAAGAAATTTTGCTCCTACCTTCTCATCTTTCTGGCTATGATCAAGGGGGTATTACAAATTGTGATGATCATATGTTGACTAACCCTACTAATAGTCTCCATGAGCCTTGTGATGATGCAGAAAATAGTGGTGCAAAAATCGCAGAAAATGGTGACGAAAACGGACCAACTGGTCCTTATTTCATGTGTCCTGGTTCAGGGGACAGATCCTCCTCGGGATCGGAGCAAGAGCTGCAGACGCGCAGCCGATCTTCCCCGGGATCCGCGCCTGGCAGCGAATCTGCCGCGTCAGTCCCGACAGACGCAGGCGGGCGTGCGGACGCCTTAGGCGGACATACAGGCGAGTCTGCGTCAGCCACGCAACAGAGCCTGGCGGGCCGCAATGCCCCCTCTCGCGCGCGTGAACCATCGCCCGACAGGTGGCAGGCTGGCTCTAGTCTGGGTCGGGTCCAGCAGGACGGCCAATTGCGCGTCTACAAGCGGCACGCCACTACTGGTTCGGCGGATGCGGGGGCAGGCTCTGTCAGCCCAGGGTCCAGGCAGCAATCATTGGGCCATGATGATGCGCCCCGGCCCAGA